AAAAAAAAAAAAAATCATTCAACATTTAGGATGTATTTTTCTGATACAGAACGAATTATGGCCGCGATTACGTATTGCTATCTATCAAATCCGCGTTCTTCGCATTTAAATAGGAACATATTGTGAAAAACAAAGACGGATATAAATTAAGTACATTGTTTTTGTTTCATGAATTTTAACAGGAACTTACTACGTTCAACAGTTCCTTTTTGATCGACTTATTTAATTTATTCGTTCGTTCATTCATTGTATCGTTATGATCAATTTGTACGAATTAAAAAAAAAAAAAGAAGAAAAAATTCATCTAATGTTCACATATTCTCGTGGAAAGAACGAAATCACGTTATAGCGCTTTAGCTTTGCGTTTGCAAAGCAGGTACGGAGTTTCGCAACCAAGATAACGCAGGTTCCACGCTGGAATAAATTGCCGGATGACCTCTCGAACATCTGCTGTGATGACTTAATAGACCCTGAATTTCCCATCTGACCGATCCTCCTCCAGATTCACACATTAGGGGTGCTCCTTCGTCGTTCTATAAAAAAGAGAAAAGAAAAATAGGAATAATAGAATAAATTAATCACTCTTTTTCCATCTATTTTCCTTAACTCGTTGATAGTATAATATAGTTTAACTATAATTTAAATTATTTCATTTTATCCCATAAGAATTGAAACGAATCATCCTAGAAATCATATAGATGAAATTTATCTTAAACTTTATACACATAATTATGATTTAACGATAGGACGATAGGAGGATTAAGAAATGGAATTAGAAAATTGCAGGAAAGAGTCAAGAATCTTACGTAGCAAGGTCCTTTATTCGTATCAGTGAATCCAGCGCATATGTTGTCCTTCGTAATGAATCCTGCATAGTGAGTGGTCGCATTGCATTCTTCGATATCGTACGTTGGCAATGGCAAAAAGTTGAGATACTTCTGTAAATCGACCTCACCGTTCACAGAAAATCCCCATCCAGCCATCACGCATATTTGTCTTGGCTGGAATTGCTAAAAGGTAAACACATATTTTAAACATTTCTTCGCTAATATTTTTCTAAATATTCTTGGTATCAAATATTTTCTTAAAATACAAACCTGTATAGGATGTTTCGGAAGGCAGATGGCGCTGACATTCCTCGAGAAAGTTAAAGGCTTCTCTAATTCCACCAATGCGATATCATTGTTATACAAGAATTGATTGTACTTCACTTGAGGATAAGGAATGATATTCCTTACAGGATGCGCTTTAAGCAGGTTTTCGCCGGTGAAAAGCTGCCATCCATTGCTCTGCTTATATCTAAAAAAGAGAAAGAAAAAAAAAAGACAAATATATCTGTCAATATTCAAAATTTCTTCAAGATTTAAAATATCGTTTTGAGAATTATATCTCATCAACTAATCGATTACAAATTCCATTCAAAGATTCATATCCATTCAAGATTGAATATTAATTCTCATTTTTTCAATCTATTTCGATATTCACCTGTGGATGCAGGAATAACTGGCAAGCACGTGCATAGGACCCAATATGCTGGCCGTGCAAGCAGCACCTAGTTTAGGTTCCTTCAACAGAGCCACGCTGGACCATTGTCCTTCGCTGGCCGGAGTTCCACCAACCAATCTCGCTGTTGGTCCTTCTCCGTAATCGGATCCGCAAGAAAATTCTTGGCAAGTGACTTGCACGACTTTGTCAGAGACGCAGAATTCGACTTGCTCCAAATTCGTGACCAATGGCGCATGGTGATTGGGATTCGCCTTTAATCTGAAAATCTTCTGAGTTTTGTCCCTCGTTTGGAACTCTGTGCTCTCGGAACCGGCGAATCCTAAAGATTGGCAATAAGAGGTACTGAATTCCTCGCTCCATCCATCGGAACAAACGAGACGGTATTCGCCGTTGTATTGTCTGAAAAGAGAGAAAAGTTCCAGTTATTTTTTTTTTTTGTTGCAGAAGTTTATTTGCGAAATTAATCTTTCTCGGTATATAATTAACGATAATAATCGTTCTGTAGAAATTTTTTTTCTACGTTTAATGAGGTGATTAAGAGAACGACAATGAAGTCGTTGTATCAAACCTTGAAACGTAATTGCGAAGTAGAATTTTTATGTTAATTACTTTTAGATGATGATAACGGAAGAATTAGGAAATAGAGGAGGAAATTAATAAGATTTCTCTCGAAGTTAATTAAACATCGATAAGAAGAGATATTTGACGCAATGGAATTATGTGAAAGAAATGATAAGAATACTTTAAATGACAGATTATATCGTTGTTTTATTAGAATTTAAAAATTTTAATCTTTAAATTTTTATGTAATTCATCATGTTTTATACGCACCTTACTTTCAGTAAAGAAGTATCCGATTCTTGAGCACCAATACTCCCGGCGTTATCCTCTTTCTGTCCATCCGTTAATTTTTTCTCTACAGTCACGTTCGCCATCAAACAGCCCCACTCGTCGGAATGATCGGGGCAGTGTTCTATTCCATCGCATACTTGATTTTCAGGCACGCATCCCCCTGTTTGACACTTGAATTGATCGAGACCGCAATCGCATAAATTTTCGTCCTCTCCTTTCGCACATTCGTCGACGCCGTTGCAATGCCACGTCAATGGTATACACCATTTCTCGGTTGGGCAGAGGTATTCGTCGTTCCCACAACTTTCGGCACAATTGTACTCGTCTCGATGATCCTCGCAATCTGGTCGGCCGTCGCACTGCCAGATACCAGGAATGCATCTTCCTGAAATTAAAAATACAACGATTCTTATTCCTCTATAATCTCTTCATAAAT